TTTCTCTCATGGCCAGTAGCTGCCCATGCTTTAGAAACTATCCCCTCACTTTCTTCGGAACATCACAACCACGTTTTCGTTCTTCTTATACAGTCATCCCTCGTTCTCTGTGCGCCCAATTAATCACTCCTTTTCATCAGTGTCTTTCCCCTTAGTGTACATATGCCCCACTGGCCTCTAGGTTGAGCAAGTCACTCTCCTGAATCTCAGCTTCTGTATTAAAAGGACATGTTAAAAATGAAAGTACTTTATAAACAGTAAAGCACTGTACTACATAATGAGTTAGTTTAATATTGTTAAAATTTGTTCCAACTTAAAAATCAAAGGAATTAAGCAACTTCTCAAGGTTTTATTGTTTCTTCATTGAAAAATCTAGGGTATGACGACTCAATTCTTCATAATTATTGACTATTATTCCATTGATAATTAAAACCTAAAAAATATTTGCAATAGTGCCAACTTGAAAGCATAGGAGTGTTTTTTAAAACCTTGCTACTTTTGTTTAGACATAGATCTTACAGTCTAGCATCTTAGCTTACTGACATTCAAGATTTTAATCATGAGGACAAGCATATGGTGTGTAGCTACAACCAAATTGGATTTGACTAAAATAGAATTTAAGAGCTGATTAAACTACCTTCATCTCTATCATTAAGCTTCCCTTGGTAATTCTATAAACAAAAGGTCTCCTTAAGAAACTGAACAAATTGAGTGAAAGATCTTTTCCTAAAAGATCATCCTTTTACTCAAGAATTTTTGTACAGGGCTCTTTGAGGATCAGAACCTCAGAAGTTTCACAGTACAGTGTAAAGTCTAGCTTCATTTGATGGTGCTAATTTGAGCCCATTCAATAAATCTTTGCCCTGCTTACAACATGTGTTGTAAAAACTCAATGAGATAAGGTCTGTGGAAACACTTTAGAAATAGCAAAAGTAGAAACAAACATTTCATTTCTAACTCCACTTTTACCTCTTGTCCTTAATAAATCAAAACTTAATATATTAATTTACCTTATAAGTTATAGGTTATGAATCGTATGAGAACTCATTGACTACTTTTAGTGAATATTCATGAAAATACTTGATATTCTCAATACAATTACTTATTAAGGTCAGAAATTAAGAACAATTTTCTATTTATTGTACATTTGCTAATTTATATTTAGACAAATCATTTGGATAAGAATAAACAAACGCAATAAGCATTTTAATAGAACTTGATTATTCCCAACTATTTTGGTAATATAACTATGAACCTATTGAACTTTGAGCATTATAAGAATAGGTAAAAGGAGAAGATTTCATATATCCACAAAAATGTCACAACAGAAAGGAGGGAAACAGAGGTGCTATAGTAAAAGGCAAACTGGTAAGGGTTGAATGTGGAGTATGTTTCGAGTAATAATAGTAATTATTTCCCTAGGGAACTTGTCTTCCCTTTCTCCTGTATTTTTATCCTTTTTAAAACATGACATATACTAAAGTGTATGTCTCCAATGATGAATGCCATCAATTCTTCCCTATATAAATGTGTTCCTACTCCCTCATTGAAACATGGGCTTTTTTCCCCTTCTAAGGAAACTAGTTAGGCCCTGTTTGTTTTAACCAATGGAAAACAGAGGAATGATTTCTGGGACATCTGAGCCCAGGCCTTATGAAGTTAACAGCTTTCAGTTCTTTCTTTGAACACTGATTCTTGGGGCTCTTCCTTTTGGAATTCAGCACCATGCTGTGAGAATCCTAAACCTTGTGGAGAGGTCATGTGAAGGAGAAACAGTCACAGCCCTTCAATTATTTAAGCCCATGCTAACATCACATTGAAGCAGAACCTTTCAGCTGAACCAGCTGAGCCTGCTCGACCCACAGAATCATGAGAGTTAATAACATGGTTATTTAATGACAATAAGTTTTGAGGTTGGTTGTTATGAAGCAAGAGATAACCAAAATAGAATTGGTACCTAGAAATAGGGTGCTACAGGGCCAAAACCAAAATGGGTAGCCTTAACTTGGAACTGAGCAGAAGATGAAGGCTTTATGGCCTTCAGGAAACAGTGGTGGCTAAAGAGCAATGAAGAAATGGCTATGTAAAGGCAACCCCGGTTATGAAAGGGAACACTTCCACCTGTGGCAACGTGAAAGAGAACTAGTACGCTTATGGAAATCACCAAAGGGAAAAGAGTAACATAATAAACTTGTGGATCTGGTCAAGATTACCAGGCAGAATATTGAAATGCCAACTGCCTTCTTCTAGCTGGCTAAAATCAAATGTGAGAAACAGGAGATGAACTAAGTAAGAAATTGTTCAACTCTGGAGCAAATTTATAGGAAATACGAACAATCCAGAACACTTTTTCCAGCCAGCAAAAGATTCTCAAGGAGGAAATGACCTCTGCACGAAGATCAAATCCAAGGAATTACTAATAAAATATAGCATCGGGTAGGTTAGGATCAAGGGTAGCTCTAATACCCTTTAAGCCTTCAGAAATATTTAAATCAGTACCTCAAAGGCCTCTTAACTAGACAAAAAGACTTCTAAGAATTTTATGAGCGCTCGCTGTAGTCTACTTAGCTAGACAATGGACCCTAAGATTCTTAAGAAGATTGGTTTTTGTCACCCTCTCAGGTCAAAGTAGATAGAGGCTAGTCTTCATAAAAACTGTATCACAGTGCATGTAGGCTTAAGACTTGATTTATCACTTTATTTCTCATGGAACTCTCCCTCCTAAATAAAATCACAAAACCCATATTTTTTTAATAATTGCTAAGTTTATTGAATGCTTACTGCATGCCAGGCACTGCTCTATGTTCTTAATATATGCAAAGTAATTTAGTGCTCAGCCCTTTGAGATAGATACCATTATCTCCATTTTACTGTTGAGAAAGAGACACAGAGGGGTTAAGTAACTTGCGCAAGGTTACAGAGCCAGTAACCATCAGACCTTGAAAACCCACAATTTATTTTTTATTTTCTTGTCAATAGCTTGTCTTGTCACATGTGTACTCCTGTGCTCATATGCCAACAATTTCTCTAGGGTATATATGTAGAACGGTTAGGTATTAGAGTGTGTGAATGCTTAACCTTACAAGATAATGCCAAGTTGCTTTCCAGTGTATCCGTTTACAATCGCACCTGTAGATGTCTTCCTGATGCACATCTTCTTCACTGATGATATTCTATTTCTTAATTTTCCAACCCATTGGATATAAAATGGTATTCACTGTGGTCTCAATCACTTATGAGGCTAAACATCTTTTCATGTGTTTAATCATAGCCTCTTAAAAAATATCTGGTTTCTATTTTTTGCTCATTTTATCCAGAACAATGATGAGTAAAAGTGGTGATAACAGCCATTCTTGTGTTTCTGATTTTTCATATATACAACTGAATCATTATACATTATCCTTTTTAATGTTGAATAATTTTATTAACAGTATTTTGACTTTTATATCTATGTTCACAAGTGCTATTAGTCTGTACTTTTCTCCTACTGAATGTGTCTGATTCTAGTGCAGTAAGTTATACTGGTCTCATAAAATGAGCTCAAGAGTATTCCCTTATTTATTCTTTGGAAGAGTTTTTACAAAATGTTGAAATAATATGGTCCTTGAAGGAGGAGTAAAACATCTATAAATGTGAGCTAGCTGTTCTCTTTGTCAAAAAAATTCTAAGGTATTGTTTATTACTCAAACTATTGAGTAATTCTATCTAGCTTGTAATTTCTTCTTGAGTCAATTTAAAGAAACTGCATTTTTCTAGACCATTGTGTATTTTGTCTGTTTCAAACATATTAAGATGCTCCTGGTAGCCTCTTATTATTCTCATCTTTACTGTATGTATAGGTTAGACCTAGAGTCCTGTTTTCTTCTTGTTCAAATTATGTCAGTTTTGTCATGAAAACTTCGGTATTGTCATTCTGTTTTCCAATTCATTCATTTCTTCCATTGCCTGTATCTCCTTGTTTCTACATTGCTTATTTTGTTGTTCTTCTCCTAAGTTACACACTTAGCCTTTTCCTTTAATTTAAGCATGTAAAACCATGTCCCTCAAAGCACTGTTTCTGCTGCACCACCCAATTTTCCAAATGTAGTACTTATAATTAAATTCTAAGTATGTTTTCTTCTTTTATCTATGAAGTTTTATTCAACTTGTAAATGTATAATTTTTAAAAATTAACCTTTCTTACTGACCTCTTATTTATGATTATCCATTTAACAGTAATTTTTTGAAATTTACTATGCCTGGCACATGGTCAATTTTTGCTAATATACAATGATTAACAAGGATACTCTCTATTTGTTGAGTATTCTAAACACGTTCATTGAATCAGTATTGTTAAGTTACTCAAACCCGTTTTCACTCACTTTTAGTCTGCTTGATTTATCAATAATTGCGAGCTGTTGATCTAGCCCTCTTTGGAGTTATTGACTTCCTAGTCCATATTTTTAAACTTCTTTTCTTCCAGGATGAATGATCCTGTATCTATGCTTTAGCAGTTACACTTGAAATTTTACTATATATTTTTAACATAATATTAAACAATATCTTACCCATTTTCTGAGTAATAAAAGCACGTCAGAATATTTTAATTGCAATTCCCCTCCTCTCATCTTATAAACTATTGTCCAATTTTTCAATTATGCCCTTTTAAAAGTACACATTAATGTTGCATAAAATGTTTAGTTTTACATTTGCTTACAACTTTACTTCTTATAAACACTCCTTTCATTATGATTGTTTTCCACAAATAACACTTGATTTACACGTTAGTCATTTTACTTGCTCACTAGTTCTTCCATTTCAGATCATCCTTTTTCAGTCTCTTAATGAAGATCCATTGATGGTGAAATCTGTTTTTCATCTGAGCATGTCCTTATTTCAGTCTTGCTTGGTACAAATTCCAAGTTGATAACTAGGTTTTCACAGAATTTTGAAAGCATTATATTACCATTTTTTGGGTCCATTGTTGCCATTAAGAAGCCAACTCAGTATGTCTTGCCTTCATTAATCTTTTTCTTCCTTTGATTGTTTTTAAAATCTTGTGTTTGGTATCTTGCAATTACGTGACATTGGCTTTAGGCATGAACTTTATCTATATATGCGTGGGATACACTGTGCTTTCCTGAATTTAGGAACTCATGTTTTTCCAGCCAATGTGGGAACTTTTTATTTCTTCAAATATTATCACTCCTCCATCCTCTAGTCTTCTCTCCCTGGTGCTTCTAGTCTTTACAATTCTTCCCTCCATACCTCTTAGTGTTTGTATCTTCCAGCAGCTCATTTCTCCCTGTTGTGCACTGGGTCATTTCCTTAGCTTTAGCTTCCAGTTTATTCATTGTCTTTTCATCTCAGCCTAATATAATATTCAACATGCTTAAGATTTTTTGTTTTTTAATTTCAAGTAACATTTCGCAGTTTTAGCAGTTCCATTTGTTTTATTTTGCATATCTGCCTGTGGTTCCATCCTTCCTGTATGTTGGTGATGAGACCTTAGGGAATTTAACCCATAGTTGGTTATTTCTATAGGTTCTTTCTCATGCTAACTAGCTTCAACTTGTGCCTGGTGATCTCGCCATGAAAACACTGCTTTATCTCATTCTATGAGAATCCTAGGCCTGTATCCTGCTTCTGCCAAACTCAGGGCCACTTCCACTGTCCTGGCCAGGGTAGCATCTCAGACTTGGGTTAATCTCTGTGTTTCTGGCCTAAGGTAAACTGCCCAAAGCAGTGCTGCAGTTGGTTTCTGCCATCCCAGCAACCACAGGCCACCTGTCTGCTTAACACAGTATGCACAACTCCCAACTCAAAATGTGTTCATTTTTGTAGGGAAAGAAAAATAAAGGCATGGTTCTTGGAGATTTCCTCTATTTTCTCTGAGCCTACTGATGCATTCAAAGGTAAACTTTTATTCAAGATCTAGGTGTTTTACAATACCTAGGCTTAGGTACTGCTGGAAGAAAAAGGCTTATTTAACATAACAAATGTGAGAAAGCACATGATTTACGATAATCCTTACTAATTCAAACCTGGAAAGCTCTCACTTTGATCAGGACTTGATTGGTACTTTGGAACTGGGTATACATTAGAAGGGTCCTACGGTATGAACTCACCTAGTAAGGTGTTATCCCACTTGGAAGAAATTTCTCCTATTGTTCTATCACTAAGATCCTCAGCCAACCCTGACTATTCAAATTTTCAATGTCCTAACGAATATGTGATACATATCAAGAGGACTAAAATCTGCGAAAATAAATGATCATTTTGGGCATTTAAAAAAATACAATAATAACAACTTGTTACATGCAGCTTCCATCTAGTTCCATCTAGATAAATAACTTTATTTTTGTAAGCCTGAGCAGATAGAAGCAGGGCTAAACAAGGCAGCTGGTGATTTCACATTAAGTTAGAAACACACCTAACAGGCGTTTGGCAACAGATCTGGCTGCTATTGTCTTAATTGCAAATGGCTTGGTGGCATCTTTATTATTCATAATTGCTGGACAGCGTTCTCTGGATGATCAGGAAGCTCTTTGTGCTTCACCCTGATTAATCACTGAAGTATTGAAAGGAGATAACCGCAGCGAAGATTGCAACTGCAAATGCTGCAACCACATCTACAAGTAAACAAACACAAAACAAATGGAAATGGAATGAGCGAAAGAAAGGCTTAACTGATTCTGCCCTCTTACATGTAGGTTACTGATGGGCCCAAACAACAACACCCACACAAATACATATTCTTACATACATATAGATATGCCCTGAAAGCTGACAAAATCTTAGAGGAAAATATAGCAATAAGTTGAAAAAAATAGATTGCAAAGGTTAGACTGGTAATCATATACTTAACAGACCACAAAAAATGTCTTTCTTACACATGTGTACACTCACACACATCTAAGAGAAAAACTAACACACACTTCAAAAGGGTCCTATAAATTTATACTGACACTCCAGCATGCTGCTTGGCTTAAACCAAAACAGACAGTTCCAATGTGCAGTGGTTCTCAATCATTCCAATGCAAAGTCATTTGAATAGCTATTAAAAACCATAGAAACTCAGATTCCACCATTCTAAAACCTAAGAATTAGTAACTCTAGGTTGGTAACTCATTTTTATCCCCCTGATCATTGTTAAGTAAAAACTGAATGGACCAGAGCATTCCAGACACAAAAACATGCTTGCATGCAACGCATTCACATAATTAACATAGGTTTATCTAATAGGTGACAAGAAAAACAACTAAAACTGGCTCTCAGTCAAAAATCTTAATACTTATAAAGCATTTCTCAAAATGGCATTCCATGAAACACCAGCGTACATGTTCTTTGATCAGCAAGTTTGAAAATGTGAAATTGAATGCCACATTATCTTGGAGCCTTTAAAATACTGAAGGGAACGATAAATTTCCACACTGGAATTTGACTTTTTTCATAGTACAGATATCAGAATCTGCAATAGCAATCCTGGGAACACCAGTTAGGGAAACACTGTCCCCACTTCACTAATGGATTCCCAAAACTCAACATGCTTTTCTTCCAAAACAACAAAAAATTAGCAGGAAGTGTCATCTTTGCGGGCAATTGGGATAATGCATTATTTATAAATTTTTCTGTCTCTAGGACCTGGCACTTCAATAAACACTGGCTTAATCTAGCACTTTTAAGTAAAATAAAATACAATAATTTAAAAGTAACAAGAAAGTTCAAATGCTAAATACCATCTTTTCAATGTTATAAAAGGAATAAAATACCTATGTTTTGCTGAATTTTCAATACTATTGCAGTTTTAATTGGTTCTTTTGGTTGTTCATCATCTGTGCTGTCCAATGAAGCTTCAGTATTCATAGAGGAAGTTATACAAGCTGCAAAAGGATAATAATAATGAACTTACTGTGATTTTGACAATTAGTAATTTCAAATAATTAGGTATTCATAATAAAGACAGGATCAGCAAACTGCAGCCTATGGGCCAGCCTCGTAGTGCATCAGGCAGACATTCTGTGTTCCATAGAGCCTAAAAAATTAACTCGTTGCCTGCCCCCCATACAGAAAAGTTTTCTGACTCTTCATCTGACCTGAAATTTGAAATATACAAACAAAATATGATCATAAATTTGAGCTTAAAACAACTCAATGTTAAAGCAAGGGGAGCACATTATCTCATTTTACAGATAGAATATAAAACCTGAGGAGTTAGTGCATTTTTGAGGGTGAGCAGCAGCAGACTGCAGATTCAGATACAAGTTTTCTTTCTACTTGATTATGCTGACAGTTTCTGTAGGTTTGCCTAGCTAAACACTGACTAAAAGTATTTCAACTGAAAACATTTTTGGGGATCACATAGAACAGGGGGTTTAATTCCCGCCCCAGTTCAAAAGAGACCGACTGGAACTTCCAGCACGTACAACAGGCGAAAGGAGAATTACTCTGGTTGAGGGGAGGGTGCAGGGCTGGAGCCACACCCTTCTTCCTCTCAGAGGCAGCAGAGGACTGCTGTTCTCTGCAACCCCAGGGACCTCGGTGGGAAAGCGACTACTTTTTGTTGGTCCCTTTATTTACAAAGAAGAGAAGAGAACCACAATGAGAGACAGTAAATACTACTGTTTATATTCAAAGTAAATAGCCTATTGTGTGGATTTTAAATGTCCTTATGGACACGTGTGCACCCCAGTACACCAGCACAGGCTCATGAGCATGACACGTAAACTTAATGAAATAGATACCTGTGGTGCCTATATCCTTCTATCATGCAACCAATAACCAAAAATATTGGCTAACACATGAATTACACCTGTTTGCTAGGGAAAGTTTTTTTTTACATGAGCTTTTGTATACAAAGAAGACAAAAACAGTTTTATTTGTCATATGTTATACATTTAATAGTTAATTATTATATGTAATGATTATGCTCTAGTAGGTCAAGTCTTCTGCACAAATAATTTACTCCTATTAAAAAAAGACATTCCATTGCTCTGCTATTTCCATTTTTTAATCTGTCAAAACCCTGTGATTTAATACAAATGCAAGATAATTTTACTGACGCAGAGCATTTTTCAAGAATGAATTAGGCCTTGTCTTGTCATAGCAATTTATGTGTTTACTTTTGGTGGAAACTTGTAGGCCTTTAATTCAAATCTCAAACACTATGTTATTTTACCAAAATTTTACTATGTTATCTCAAATTCAAATGCAAGTGACATATGATTCAATTAGAAATTAGATCTTAACCATCCCTTTAAACCAGTAAATTTAACTTGAGACAAATCTCAAATTAATCATGTAAGAAAACTACTTTCTTGAGCAATTCAAAGGACCCTGAAGAATACATGCTAAGTTGTTGATGTGTTCCATTTCATGCCACGCTGTTGATAGGTGGGCAGGACTATTTAAGAGCTCAAAATTACGTGTTAGGACTTGAAACCGTTGGTTAGTTGTCTTCCTCCCTATTTCTGAATCCTAAATTAATGAGGTTTCACCATAGTCAGTGGTTTAGCCATAAAAACACATCTTTAGTATTATTTTTTCTTTATAATTATCAACATTTAACCAAATAGCAAAAATTAATTTCAGTTCGGATATTAAGGCCGAATTGACAAAATGAGTTTCATCAGATTTTAAAGGTGTGTTCTCCAAAATTTTAGTAGATACTATGGATGAAGCACATCTGAATTATTAAGTTAATATCTACTAGGAGATGACTAATGCATCTAAGAAATGTTAAAGCCGTAGTTATCCCTCACCTTAAGTGAGTCATTTTGACAAACAAATTGTTCTTCATCCCTTAAGTCATTTAAAAGCATGTTATTTTAAGATACTTATTAGCAAAATATGTATTTTAAACATAGCAACTACTTGGCAAATATAGAACAGAAATAATTAAATTATAATCAAGCAAATAATAACATGGAATACTTCGAAAATAAAGCCAGATACTGAGAAGTTTAATGCTGACTGTATCATAATTGACTTCAATTTTTAAATTTAAATATTTGAACTCTATTTTTTATGGTTTATTTTATATGACAAGACTAATTTAAAATATTTAGAAAAATCTATGTACACTATAAATATTACTTTCATAGTTTAACATTAATGTTTTTCATTATAATTCCGGAGTCATTATTTTAAAGCCAATAATCCTAGTTAATATCGCATTGTATTTATGTATCTTTTTCTGTTAGAAAGCATTTTCCCTAACATTTTTACTAAACTCTCATATTAACTCCAAGAGAATCTGGGGTTCAGAGGGAACTTGTTTAAGGTTATACAGCTGCAAGTGGCAGACTGGACTCAGCTAAAATACTGTCTTGGTAAAATTACACATCTACTATTTTTGAGTAAATTAATAAATGAATGAGTGAATGAGTAAGTAAATCTGATTCTAAACTTACAGGATGTTTATGTAAAAGCACTTAATTTTTCTATTAAAGTGTTTATGTTTTCACCCTATCCCAAAATTTGGGAATGTGTCATTTCAATAAATACACTAATAAAAATACACTAATTACTAAATCATTCTTCCTAATTTAATGAATATTTGATGAAGCAAAACTAACATAATTCTAGAAAAGTCATATTCTTGGCCACAGTACAATGAATGCCACTGTTCATTTCCTAAACAGCCTAGGGTTACTTTCACTGTATTCATTCTTCAGAATGAGCTCAAATGTTACCTGCTCTGAGAAGTTTTCCTTGAACTCCTTATAGATATAGTGCCTGTGCTAAACGTTCTGATAATTCTCTGTTCATTCCTCCATTACAGACCAATCATCTTGTTTTGGAATAACCCATTTCTCTGTATTTCCCACAATACTGTGAGCTTCTTGAAAGTCAGAACTATGTATCTCATCTCTAGACCCCTAATGCCTAATGCATAACAGGCAATTAACAAATAGTAATCAATCAATCACTCAGTGCAGACACATGTTAGTTTCATAAATAGGGCAGAGTCCTAAAAGAATCATACCTATTATATTGAAGTAGTATCTTCAATATATTATATATGATACTAGAAAACTATATAATAATATCTAGAAACTATGAGCTTAATACGGTATATACAGTGTGGGGGCAAAAGTAGGTTTACAGCTATTTGCATGGAAAATAATAAATAACACAAGAATAAACTCTGTGTTTCGCATACTCACAACTGTAAACCTACTTTTGCCCCACCATGTATATAAGTATACATACCTAAACTAGCCAAATTGCTGTTTTGTTTCCTTTGTCCTTATAATATGAAACTCTTCCTACTCAGTTAATGCACCTCCATACTAGACACCAGAATAAATGAAAATAGAGAAGAAATAATTTTAAAATACACTGTAAAACATACAACTTAGTGCCAAGGTTAAAAACTTATAAAAATAAAAACCCACAAAAAATACAAATGGATTCATATTTATGTCATCTAAGATTTTTAAAAATTATCTTAAAATACTTCATAGTTACTAGTTAATGCTATTGTTTACCACAGCAATGATAAAGCTTCATGATGGAAAACTGAGAAACAGGATGTTTACTATATATAGACAATAAAAATAACTCATCAGGGAATAGCATTTAAATTTGATAATAGATGAGAAGTATATTATCTTGAGGATAAAAATAAGTCTTCTACTTATTTGTAAAAATATTTCAAAGAATTCAAATAGTCATTAAAACCATGGGATTTTTAATATACTTAGGATTATACTTTATATATTATAGTGACATTATATTATAGAGGATCAACTTATACAACATGTACCTGCTTTCTGTTAAAGTGAAATATAAAAGGAGTAATAAAGAATTTAAAAATGGAAAGAATTTACTAAAATTGGAAAATACTAATGTCAAAACTTTGCTACTGTAGAATATAGATTATTGCTGACCGTAAGTCAAAATGTTTTTTCTGACTGAAGTATTAACCAAATCACTAGAGACCCTAAACTTCTGATCATTAATCTTAATTAAATCCTTAGGTACTCTTAGGAACTGAGTACATGCTCTGCATAATTAATAATGCATACACATTCCACCTTTCAAATCAGACTTCAGGTGTCTTGAGGAAAGAAATCTGGTCACTTTTGTATCTATCACATTGCCTTGAACACAGCAAATGTTTAACAACTATTGGATAAATAGACATACTAAATGCTGTCAACTACAACGAATATTTCTGGGGCAATGTTTTAAATGTTCTACACCTCTTAATACGCTCTGAACTATTGAGCCACAGAGCTATGACTATTATGTCCTTTTAAAATCTTCATCATGTACAGTGTAGTGTATTATACAAACCTTGAAAACTTTGTCTAGGCACAAGCTTATAAGTTTTCACATATAAAATAAGTGTATCAGTCAGATGGAAATGATATTTATGAATAACTATCATGTTTTAGGCAAGTAGCTCAGGAAAATAAACATTTTAGGTACTCACTTTAAAAAAAAATCATACAGTCTCATGAGAAATCATACTAACATAATCAAGGTGAAATTAAACCAGGATAAAGTACCATCACTCATTTAAGCTTAAAAAACCTTTCTAAATAATAGAATTAGGAGGACCGGGCCAAAGTATGTATCTAAATCATGTAGAGTTATAGTCTTAAAGTCTGTACTGGTCAGGTCCCATGTAAACGCAGTAAAACAAATTTGTTAGGAAAAAAGCACAGACTCTAGAACCAAACTGCTAAAGTTTCACCATTGACTAGCTATGTAACCTGGCAAAGTTACTTGAATTTCCTAAGCCTCAAGTCTCTCATCTGAAAAATAGGGTTAATAATATCTATATCATAGGACTGTTAAATAAATGATTTTGTGTTTGTAAGGCCCTTAGAACAGTGTCTGGCAACATAGTAAGTTCTATATAGATAGCTAATATTGTCATTACATTATTAGGTTTGATTCAGGGTAATATATTTCAAGAAAGGCAAACCAGAGTATTTAAAGAAGTAGTTTTTAATCTTTCTTAAGTCACCAACCCTGTGAAAGCTATAGATCTCTTCCCCAGAAAAAACTATACAATTAATTTCTAGTGACTTGTGGATCTGCCAAAAGCCATCTATAACTCCCAGGGTTCTGGATGCCCCAGGTTAAAAATTCGTAATCTAAAGGCAGGCAACCAAAGTGGTAAGAAAAATGAGGTCTGAAAACTGTAATAAAGAGAATAATTAAAGGTATGTGGGAATACCTGGCTTTAAAATACTCTGAACATTACAGCTGCCCTCAAATTTAGCATGGTTCCCCAAAAGAAGTACTCGTGTTTTATTGCTCCAGATTTCTGAACAAAGTATAAGTTGCAGGAAGGCAGACTGGTATTTAGAATAAGGAAGAATAGGGTCCATATACCCATCTGCTAGCAATATAGATTTCAGTATTATAAAATAGAGGATAATTAGGTCAACTCTAGTAATCCCACATAAAATTCATTTGGATTAGCAACAACAGAATCAATGGCATCAGTGAAAGAAGTAATAAACAACACAAACAAAAATCCCTCCCCGCTCATGAGTCTAAGTTTGGTTTGCAGAGACATCATAGTCACGAATGTGGCAAAACATATTTTGAAAAGTAGCAAACATTTTTACCAGTCCACTGTCAAAATTTCTACCAATTAGATGATATGCTATAGCTATACCTTTAAAAATATTAGCTTTCAAAAAACTGAAACACATCTTTAACATCAGGTACTGAGCAATTTGGAATTTTTTTTTCTCTTTAAAATAAACTTTCTATTCCACATCATAATTAATACTAACCTGGAGCTGTTAAAAAACATATCTGGTGTTCTCCAACTAACCTAAGGTTTTACTGACAGATTGGTAATTCATCAAATACTTACTTGACTCACCATATAAACAAGAGAACTCTGAATCAAACTCTCTGTTGTTATACAGGGTGGGAATTAGTTAAGCAATATAGACTAAAGAAATTAGAATTAAAAAAAGAACTTAAATATTGCTATATTCAAATTTCATAAAGCATCCATATTCAGAATAACCTAAAGACTTTCTACTATGATATCAGAAATTTCAAGACTGATAAATGCTACGTACTCAGTATTCACTCATATTTGTAAATACTTCTACCACATATTTTAAAATGTTTCCAGAAGTTTGTCATACATGTACACATTTATATATAGATATGTTATCATAGCCTGCTCTTACGAGAAACAAAAACAAAACAAAAAAAAAAGAAGCAAAGCAAAACAAAACAAAGAAAACAACCTTCCAAAATGTAAGGTCAAATGGGAAAATGATGGCTAAGGGAATAAAGTGCGTCACATAATTAAGATAGGATGGCAAATCTATGCCCTACAAAAATAATACTTGATCTACTTCTTGGAACTCTCTATTTCAGCTTCGTATCCAAATTATATAAAGGGAGTAAGAAAAAAAGGCAAATAGTATGGAGAAGATGTTTAATAAAGTATTTTTAAAAACTTTGTAAGGATGTTTAATCAAATGAGTAATCAAAATAATGGGTTATGAGAAAATTTCCTTTAAAGAAATACCTTAAAACCATATATTTCCACCTACCAAAAGCTGCACTTGTTTTATGAAGATCTACTTGTTAAGCTTAGAACAATGTGAAGTAGAGTAAATGTTGGTACAATTTTCCAGGAAAATGCTGACTACATGTTTATGTATGTAGAGATTAGACACATTCTTAAATGCCTCAGAAGTATCAAACATAACTGGCTTTAAGGAAATCTAAAGATATGATATTTAACTAGACGTCTCATAGGTAATTTTAGCAGTAGTTTAATCAGGTTCTTAAACAACATCACATAATTACCTGTGTTTATTTCCTCTGCAATTTCCAAATCTTCTATTTGAATCCTATGATCTAACATCTCTATAAAATGGTCTCTGATTTCCTCAGCTGACTCATCGTCAAATTTATAATCACATAACCTTACTGCGGATCCCAGAATGGGGACAAAAACTCGGTGAGGAAGGATGTGAAACTCCTTTTCAGAATCTAAAAGAAGAAACATCATCAATATTTAGATAAGTCTGTCATTAGTGTCAGTGATATATATTTTATAAGTATATGAAAGCATCACATACTAATAGAAATAAAACCTAGGAGTTATTTTCATTTTCTAATTGACCTGGTACAAAATTGAGAAAGTGAATCTGATTCTAAACCAATAGGATGTTTATGTAAAAGCACTTAATTTTCCTATTAAAATGTTTATGTTTTCGCCCTATCCCACAATTTGCGGAAGTGTCATTTCATTATTAAAAATGTACTATTTACTAAGGCTTTCCTCCTAATTTAATAACTATCTGATGAAGCACAACTAATATAATTCTCGAAAAGTCATATGCTTGGCCACAATACAACTGATGACACCATTCATTTCCTAAAAAGCCTAGGGTTACTTTTACTATATCATGCTTTACCTCAACACACCTGACCCCTGCAAGGGACCTAACTTATACTCCTATGAAACATGAACTTATCACTACCTTCAATATGAAGATGTGTTGATTATATAATCTGTATTATCCACCCACCTATGAAAGAATATCCAGGAGAAAATTTTGTCCCTGGTCTCAGGAATTGCTATTTTTATTAACTTTACAAGTACTAAATTTTATAAACAATTTTCCCCTCTTCATGAGATTTCAGAGCCAAACTAGTAGCCAATTTATATCAAATGTACAGAACGTGATAGCAAACATTTTTTGCACACTTACATACAAAATCATCTCACTGCTCACTTCATCTTACTCAATGCTAGTAGTCCCCAATATCAAACGTGTGTAGGACATCAAGATACATGTTTTATATACTAACCTCACTACCAATTCCACCTTGCTTTCTTTTCATTCCCCCTTTGCCTCATTCTTATTACTAGTATTTATTATTATGATCATTAATTTTGATTAAGTTCTTAGTTACTCTTAGGAACTTATTACATGCTCTGCATAGTTAATAATGCATACATATTCTATCTTTCAAATCAGATTACAGGCTTCTTGAGGAAAGGCATCTGGTTATTGATTTGTATCTATCACATTGCCTTGAAGTGAGCTAACATTTCATGAATATCTAATACAAAGACATATTAAATGCTGTAAACTAGAATTAATATTCTGGGGCAACAATTAGCATGACATATTGTCATAAACAGCGTTAAGTAACTTTTAGAAAAAACAATCTAGACCTAAATAAATAATGAAGACTACGTTTTACTCTTCTTTGAATACTCTCAAAGTAAAATATATTTTCCCCAATTTCTATCATCATCACCAGTCCACTTTGTTTGGTTCAACACCATGATTGTAATGAACTTTCAGCAAAGATCAAGATTTTGTATAAAGAATGACTTCTTTCAGCAATGGATGTGATTTAAAAAGGTATCAATGTACAGACCAAGTAGAAAAGTAGCCTCTTTAATAGTAACCTATATTTCCTTGCCAAGAAACTAGTGGCAGCTTCTTGGCAAGGAAATACAGGTTACTATTAAAGAGGCTACTTTCTTATATAACTACAAACGGAAGATGAGGGATGTCTTCTGTGTTAGGGGAAATGCACTTACTTAAAGTATACGTTCCTGCCACATTCTGCTTATTATCTTGTTTTCATATGAGAACTGGAAGAACAATTTTACTCTTTGACTATACTGCCACCTAGCTGTAAAATTATATTACTACAATTTGTATTGTAGCATGTAAATTGTCACACACTGAAATTGGGAATATATTATTTGAGGCCACAATTTCTTGAAACAGGTTAAGTGCAAAACTTCAGTGATGTCTATAATGTGTGTTATTGGCATGCAGAACGTAAAAACTATTTCAAACTGCATTCTTTCTAGCTCTGCCTAAAAAAAGATAAATATGCTTACTGTAAAATCAAATGTTACAGTATTGGTTGCAATGAATTTAAATTACTTATTAAAAAAGAAAAAGCACATAATTTTCAAATTAAAAAGTTAAATTAGCCATTTAGTATCCATCTAAGACCAAGTTTTTTAGTTGGTCTGAAATTTAAAATGGGAAGGGGGAACCTTTTAAAAAAAAACGTATCTTAAAAACTATTCTAAAAAAAGAGTCCACAGGCCAAGAGGATCACGAATGTTCTGAGAGAACAAGTGATGTAAACAGACACAGATGTAGGAATGGACGAAAGTAAGAGAGTTCCAAGTTGATGGCCGCAATTTTCACAAGGAGTAGGTCGCCTGCTGAGAGTAAGTGGGGCAGACTGAATGGAGACTGACGGAGAACAACGAAGAAAGGGCTGGAACACTGTTTAAGGGGAAGACCCCAATATGTAAAGCGAATGCCTGGAGTTCTTCTATTTCTTTACTGTCACTGAAGTATTAAGTTCTTTCATCTGGATAGCCAGAATCCAAAGACTATGTTTACTTTAAAATAAGGAATATGAAGTCAATATGCCCTTTGCAGACTTCCTGATGCATGCAAAAATATTCTAGTTCAGGTTAATTTCATGGCATACATTCTACATTTTACCATACTACAAATCTACAAAATCTTACTATTACAGAATTAAGTTAAACTAAGTAAAATGAGGACTAAAGCTAAGACCTAACGATTTGGTGTATATATATTCAATTTCAAAATTTATATTTGTCTGTATTATTATACTTGCAATTTAGTCTTTCGTCTTGATATCCTAAAATCAACTAACATGTTGGAGGAATAAGTATCCTATTACTAAAGTTTAAAAAGTATATATTTATACTTGGGTTTCTTTTTGAAATATAATGCTACATGTCCAAAAAAGTTAAAGTTAAGAAATTTTAAAGACAACTATCATTAAATAATTCTCTTCCTTTACCACCTTCAATATAATAGAAACTCCTCCTTACTGAGGGCTTGACTTACCAACTTATATTACGGGCTTTAAAAACATTCATCTTATTTAAACTCAAGGCCTCAAAAAGCAGCTACTACATTCTCCATGTTCCATTTAAGATAATGGGTGCTTAGATAGGCTGAATCATTTGCCCAAAGTCACTTTACTAGTGGTAAAGTAGACAAAGAACTCAAGCACTTCAGTCTTTGCTCTCTCCACCAAACTGCAATGTTTACTCTCTTCACATAACCTCAATGGCTACTCAATTACAGTGAACAATATCTTTTATTTAAAAAGAAGTATACTGTGGCCCTGGCTGGCGTGGCCCAGTGGGTTGAGTGCCGGCCTGCAAACCAAAGTTTGCTGGTACAATTCCCAGTCGGGGCACTTGCCTGGGTTGCGGGTAGGCCCCCTGGGGGGCATGTGAGAGGCAGGCGACCCATGTTTCTCTCACACATCGATGTTTCTCCCTCTTTCTCCCCCAACCCTTCCCCATCTCTAAAAAATTAATAAAATTTTTTAAAAAATATTTTACTGTGTAGCTATTACAATTGCTCTTTGGAATAATTAATTGTGCTGATTGGACATTAGCAAAAGGTTTCAAAATACTACCTCGTTTTTTATACAGTAATACCAGGACAGTCATATAATACTATTTTTAGGAAGCATTTTAAAATGGAACAAAATATTTAACTAATGTGTGTGATAAGGTAGGTCTTTGGCATTAATGGTGAATACATCCCCATGTCTCCAAAAATTCTAAAATTCACAGTTCAGCTGTAATCACACTGTTTCTCAGAAAGCGAATATTTAGCACCATGAGAGCTATACCATAGACAAAGTCAAGTAGCAAAAACAAAGCCACAATGAGATGGGGCTGCTAGGCTGCCTGGGTGGCTAAGTGACGAGGTTTCACACAAAAGTCTTAATCCAATTGCTGCCTGTAAGATTCAAATTCATTTCTCAGCAAAACTACACTCAGCAAAAACTATGCATTTCATTATTAGTGAACAGAAATTCAGGGTTATTTGTGGAGTACAGGAATGACAAATGTTAAATCTGGCAATTCCAGTGATCTTTCAAACTAAGAATACAAAAAAGATTATGATTTGCCTCCAAACCTAATATACTGTCTATCAGTAATACTAAAAGAAGTTAGTTTTATAGATGAGCCATGTTTTCTTCTATAAATATAAAAATATTCCCTTAACAAGCTAATATATATGTTTCAATTATGTATATATTCAACTGTGAATTGCTAATCTACTCACATCTGAATGGTAGGAAGGGGAAGATGAATGTGTAGCTTTAAAAAGCATACTCAATATTACAATTTTCTTTTTGAATAAAATAATTATTTTTAATACAAATGACAGAAATGGTATAAATTGCTTATTTTTCAAAACATAGAATAGTTATAATAGGTTATAATATGATGACCCAGACTTTTAAAAATCTAACAGTCTGTTGCATAATAGATAAGCATAAAAAATAGTACGAAAACAACTTGGTAGGAATAAGTTTCAATTGCATATATACCACAAATTAATACCTATTAAAGAACCTATTATATAATACTTAACACAAATAAATATTTTGATTATAAATAAATTCTTTTAAGAAACCTACTAAAATAATTTTTTAAATTAGCTTTAAAATGTTAACACAGTTTTCAATCTGGCAAAAATTCATGCAGAATTTTCTAAAAATCTTCCCAGAAATTGTTAAATGTTTTGACAGATTTGCTATTTTAAGGTGTTCAGAAATCTTTTTTTTTTTGGTGCAACTGTCAATTTTTCATTCAATAAAAAAAGTAAAAGATGACATATTATTGTTAAAGACAAATATAAGCAGTTATAAAAGATGACATATATATCTTGACAGCCTATCAATTGAACGCATGCCAAAAAAAGTACTTAATTTTATACTCATAACTTTTTTTTCTGGAGTCTCATTCAAAAGCAGATCCTCAAATAGTATTTCACAACGATCAGCAACTGTATTCAATATATCTCTCTTCACTGCCTACAGAAAAACAAGACAAATTACAAATAAGAAATAAAGTCTGTTACTTTCAATTTGCATTATTCCACTACCAGAGAATCTTCACATAACTACTTTTCCTGTATAATCATGTCCACTAAAATAACTGATACATTATTCTTTTTTATAGGCCCACTTACTTAACCTGCTTACAAACATTAATAATTTAGAAGCAAATCTGCCTACCTCATCTAAATAATTAAAACCAAATAAATAAATGAAATTCTTCATCTGAACAAATAATGCTCGTGTTCCAAATTAGGAAATGTATGACTGACAAAAGTACCAGCCATCCTTTTTAAAATTTCTGCATTATAGAGATTATAGAACACCACCTAATAATTCTTCCGAAGAAATGATTTCCAGTGTATTAATAACTCACAGATGACTCACAACTGTGAAGCACTTAATAAATTTATATAATCATTACTGTAAAAACACCATAATATAGATATTCTACATATGAAAATCCTACAGCCAATTACATGGTGTAATTGTACTGCCCAACTGAGTAGACTTTTAATTGTTAAAATGAAATTAATAATTATGAAACCTAAGAGTCAAAAAAATAAAATGTTATGATTTTTGAACACTTAAGTTAACATGCTTCTGTCTTTCCTGTGCCAGTTACCCCCTTGGTACCTGCACAGCATCTTTGACCTTGGGTTTATGGCCATGAACGTATGCTCTGCTCTGCACCATGCCCTTCAGGTTTATCGAGCCGCTGCAGACCTGGACGGTGGCTGTGGACCTGTGGTCAGACGGCAAAAGCTGAAAGACAAGAATCACTTCAAGTTCTAATGGCCAACACTGTATTATTAACTATATAAACTGCACTGCAACGATATGAAATGTTTTAAACATTATAGAGGCCATTTCATAAAGTGAGAAGAAAATTTGGGGCTGAACCAAGTGTTTGAAAATAGTCTCCAAAAATTATTATTAAAAGGCTTTCATATTTCTCTTTACAAGTTACATATTATTTTCTGAGAATTTTGACTGTAGTATGAAATTAAGCACATATAATTTTTTCTTACTGATATAACCATCCAAAATGCCAATATTCAATCACTATATTTGCTAAAATATATACACTATTCACAGATTACTCAGGTAATTATGATGATGAAAAGATGTATAAAGACGTGATCTAATAGGACTTGCATGGCATGCACTGTAAGGTCTGCACAAAATACAAAGCAGGATGTGATAAATATGGCACAATTATAAGCAATGCCTAGACACTCATTTGTTTCTACACTTTCAACCCATACCCTTCAGAGACTGAAGTAGCGCTACACGCTCTGCCGCAGGAAAAGGGCAAGCCAGCTACGCCTGTTACCGGGGACGGGGTCGGTGGCCACAAGCAGTTATTTTCATGTCACGGTCCCATTCTTCTTTAGTCTAAGGAGTGTTAGTTCATACTTGGTTTTGAGATGTTTCACAGACATTTTTAACCTCATCATGAGATGTTTCACATTCTTAACCTTATTAGTTTAGTGCCAAAACAAGGAAATCATTGAAACATTGACAGCATTACTAGAGGTCTATAAAAATCACAATGGAAATAAAAATGAATTTTAAAAAACCCGCACCATGGCCCTGGGCTGGCGGGGCTCAGTGGATTGAGTGCCAGCCTGTGAGTCAAGAAGTCGCCAGCTCAGTTCCCGGCCAAAGCACAAGCCTGGGTTGTGGGGCCAGGAGCTCAGTTGGGGGCATGAGAGAGGCAGCTGATCGATATTTCTCTTCTGTTTTCTCTCTCTCTCCCTTCCCCTCTGTCTAAATAATAAATAAATCTTTTTGTAAAAAAAGATTATTTTGAAAAAACCCACAATGGACGCATAAAATATGTTTCAAGTACACGTGGAATAAATCATTCAACAATAAGGTCAATTTTGAAGAACAAAAACAAATCATGCAACTTGTGAACAGTGCCAATTATGTGTGTGCAATAAAGAACAACCAGGAAGTGATGAGAAAAAATGGTGACAAAATCGAATGATTTAAATATGTAGCTACTGAAAAAGGATTAACAGTCAATGTCTAATATAATTCAAGCAAAAACTATTTTTAAGAATTTAAATTTAACACTGTAAAGGTCTTGGTGGTAAAAAATTCTGTAACAGACGAAATAGTTCAAAAAATTTCAGGTCCATTCAAAAATGTCAACAAGCCAAGCAGCAGGGTAACAATGCCGATACAATATCTGGAATAAGCTTCTTGTGATACTTGCAGAAATCACTGACACATCAGCAAGGTGGAGGTGCCAGAGGAGTAATGGCTTGCCTAATCCACAGTGCAGAGCTTTACTATGAAACTATTCTATTTTGGAAGATAATACTCTACTTACTTGTCTAATATCTATCTTTAATATGTATTTTATAGTATATAACACATTGATGACATATAAGCTACGTATGTATAAATTAGTGCTTTGTTCTCCAAACTAAATGAGACTATACACGAAAGACTACGCGCATGTGTGTGTGCACACACGCGCGCGCGCACACACACACATATCAAGAAGGGGTTTTAAAAAACAGGGAAATCGGCTCACTCCTTTTGGGTGGAATTGTATCTGAGTTCTACAAAAGTCAACTCCTTCTGGTGTCTTTGGACTTAGGAACCAACTGGCTTATAAAAGGACTTTGGGGACCTAACTTGTTCATAAAAGGAGGATACTGGTATGGTGTTTTGGAAAAGGAAAGAGCCCTCTGGTTACAGGGGCAGCATTTGGGTTAGATCTTAATGTCCAGATAGGATCCTGACAGTCTGGACATCTGAGATGAGATGGCACCGGCAAGACAATGGCTCAGGAAATGCACGGGATTCTGAAGGACTGGAAAGCAGACCCTAGAAGAAGAAACTAGAGAATAATGAAAAGACATGCTAAGGCTATGAAGAGCCTTGAAATAGACTTTTATAACCAGTCAATAGAGAGCCATTGAGGAATTTTAAGCAAGGAGAGTTAACAATCAGTGTCTGATCCTTATACACACTTAAGAAGTATTATCTGAAAAGAAATAAATGAACAAGTGAATGAATACAAACTGTGATTCAGAAAGGATAATCTGAAGTTTTATATGCAGGATAGAATAAAAATATGGAAGATGTGCCAAATATATACAAAAAAGGAATCAGGATTTTCAGAGAATCAATCACTTTGGACAAAAATGAATAGATGGAGAGAGACCATTTCAGAATTACCTAACATAGATGAAATAATAATGTTGTAAGGCTAATGACACTATAACAAAAAAAGATGAACTTAACACTGCAAAGAAAGAATAAACAAGACATGACAGAAGCTGAATGGAAAGAAAGGGGCATCAAGTACTTATTGACCACTTATTATATATTGATGATTTTAAAGTTTCCAGCTGACTGACCATGGAATGTTTGACAAAAATATACTACACTATATAATAGTAAATATCATTACAATAAATCATCTCTTATGATAATTTATGATATGGTCTTCCACTCTTCTCTTAGTATTTTCACTCTGCACCACATCTTCCCACTCCAATTTTATCACTAAAATAATATTAACTGAATTGTTTGATTGATAAAACAAGAGGTCACATAACTAGCAAAAAATATTTAGGTAAAGGAATAGCCTTAAAACAAAGGATACTTCTAAAATAAGGAGGAAAACAAAATATTAAAAATACTTTTAAAGTATTGAGAAGAGAAATTAAGAACTAATGTTGAGTGGCATAAATCCAATGACATTTTAGTAATGATCTATTGTTAACCCAGAGAATGAAAAAAAGAAATGGAAACATCTTCATAAGTCTATTTTATTCAGTTAAAAAATATACAAGTCCTAGTAATATTTTTGTTTCAACATTTCCAGTATAATACTGAAATAGAAGCTTTCTAAAAACATGGATGTACTTTATACCCTGCCTGTTTTCAAGGAAAATTCCAAGCAGGATTAAAATCAAAAGCATGCATATACTTTTAGGAATAATTACAGCTTTAACTTCTTATTCTTCAAGATGCCCAACTTTCAATTTCTGAAAAGAAGAGATGTGTAACTTAAAACAGCCATAAAAAATTAAAAACTGCTAATAATGTGTGATTTTTATCAAATCAGAAGAGGTGTAAATCTACTTCATATTAAATAAATGATGACTCTTGGCATATCTGTGCACACATCTTCTACTTATAAGTTGTGAAGAATTACATGTGTCATAAAACATAAACCCAAAATATTACATGCATGCACACACATGTGTATGTATGTGTGTATTTATATGTATATTTATATTTAAATGCTATCTACTTTATGTTAAAATTTTAACAGTCTTAGGCCAAAAAGACCCAAATAGGTTTTACTAAATTAATGTTTCTTGGGAGTAACTTTCCTAGAACTGGGCATTTTTTTACAGTTTCTTACATCTCTAAAATTCTTTGACTTTCAAAGTAGAAACATAAAAACAGAAACAATTTCATTAAGGTTATTGTTATAAATAACATATTTTAGATAAGTAGGATTTTTAAATATTTACCAACTGTGTTAGCACTCTGACATCAAAAGAATGACCGATTGCTTGAGCATTTCCTCTAAAAGATTTTTTCTGAAAATAAAGTAAAAAAACTAGATTATTGAGATTGGAGTGCAACATAAAAGATGATTTAGGAACTGTCCTACACATACTAAGTAACCTAGAGGAAAAAAATCTTATTACTTGTTTTATTTTCACTTTTTCTGTAGACATGTTATTTTGTGTATTCTATAGCAATCAATATAAGCTGCTAAAAACCATTAATTCCCTACTTTTGTTTCTCTAAAGCAAGGATTGGCAACCTATGGTCTAGGGGTCCAATTCAGACTTCCACCAGTCTTTAAAAATAAAGTTTTACTGGAACACAACCAAGAGCATTCATTTACACATTGTTTGTGGCTGCTTTCATGATACATCAGAGCTGAGTAGTTGACACCAAATGGCCCTCAGAGTCTAAAATATTTACCATTTGGTTTTTTACATAAAGTTCACTGATCCCCCCGGCCCCCAAAAGGAGTGATCACCAGAGTTTCTCTTCAAATTAAAGCTATTTTAGAAGCCCATAGAGACCCCTCTTTAAAGTGGAGAAACTTCATCTTCAAACTATCAGGGCAGGATTCCAATTATTACAGAAATAATCTCCCATCATTTTCTGAGAAAAACATCTGCCCTGTACTTTAAAAGTACTTAGAAATAAGAAGTAGATGAAAACTGTCTTCATGAAGAAAAGGATTAAACAACTAAGAATAGTCATCTTTTATTTTTCCTTAACACAAATAATTTCATAAGATGATTTTTTTAACTCACCTGTCCTTCTACCAGGTCACAATCTTCAGCTTTCACTTGTCCATTAATCAAATAAACACCATCTTCTATTTGCTTGGCCCAGCGTGCAAGTCCATTCTTAAAAGAAACACAACGGGTAGCTTTCAGATATAAGGCCATCTCCCATAAACTCCCTAGGGTCAACATTTTCCACCTAATACACTGAAGTAGTAAAAATCTCTAAGTATCGGTAATGTGGTATTTAAACTCAGTCTCCTAAACAACAAAAAATGTATACCCCCAAAATTTGGCACCTTACTCCTATTTTATAATAGTGTTTCTGGTCTTTATCCCAAACTACCATTCATATCATAGACTTCGGAGGCTTAATAACTACATGGCCACAGTCATATACATTCAGTAATTTCCATTATCTTTAAAAAATGTGAGAAAAGAGAAAAAGCCTGAAATATATAAAGCAGTATTAAAGAGGAAAAAATAAGCAACCTCCATTTGCCTCCTTCAAAGGAAATGAGGTATGAACAAAGGAATGATATAGAAATTTTTAAAAAGGACTGAAAATGAGAAAACAAAACCATAAAGTCCAAGAGAAAGCAGAAAGACCAAACAGTACATATAATTACATAACTAATTTTACAATGTACATAATTATGTTAATTAACAAATATTTATGGCACACCTATTATGCTAAATATGAATATATCAGTATGATGACATTTTAATCTGAGGTAATAAATTAGCTACCCCAAACAGCATCATTATAATTGGAATGCAGTTTTTGAGGACTATAAAACGAATGGCAGACAACCAGAATAAAAGTAGATTATCTATTCAGTAATCACTACAGAAAATTCATTTTACCCGCATACCTTTGTATTTTTCTCCAGAGTGTAGCTGACAGAAGTAGTAGACAGTGGGATGTGAATATTAACATGAACTGTACATTCTAAAGAATGCCATGAACTTGAGAGTCCATTCTGATACTTCCAATCCGCTGGTTTTGCTGAACTCTTTAGCAGTGAGGAAGGAGGAAAACATAAAACATGATTTAGGTCATAATATGTACAACCTAATAATTATACAACCTGACAGCTAACATATTTGGCCACATTCTTTCATTAAAGGACAATAGGTTAGAATTAAATAAAAATAAAGCATGCATTTAATTTTAGTAATCTTCAGAAAACTGAACTTGGCAACTCCCCCAGCGGCTGGCTGGAAAAGGATCGGGCAGTCCACGTTTAGAATTCTGACAAGTCCTCTGGTCCTCAGATTCTCATCTGTAGCTTCAACAATGTCAATTCTGAAGCTTCTGTCGTGAAGCAATCAGTCACTGAGCGACTACTACGTGCCTGACACTCTCCTTTCTGACCCGTCCTTGGTAACACAATTCTGCAAAGTTGCTTTTTCACGTTGCTTTTAAACATCTTAGTAAAATGTTACTATGGATTCTGCCAAGTACAAGTAACTTGCTTAGCAGGCACTGTAGCTACCAAAAACCGACATGTTTTTACTACCAGCCTCTCAAATATACTACTAAACACATAAATAAGGTAGGGGAGCTTTATAACAATGTTAACAATTTAAAAAAACATAAAGTTTCCTTGTAATAAAATGAATATTTCAAAATAAAAAAACTGGTGACTGTGGACATCAGTAGGAAAGGACAGCATTGAAAATGATAAAACTAAATAAAGAATTTTATTTTTAAAATACTTTGCAACACAAAAAAATCTTTAAAGAGCAATTTTTCTTACCTTTGGATCATGGATATCGTAAGTTCGACAAGATATTCTTTACTAATTAAGGATGGAAATAATCCAAAAAAGAATTAATTCTTGATAATCAAAAGAAAATAAACCAGCAAAAAATAAAAATAAAATAAAGTGTAAGTATCCAAGAGTTTTTATAAAATCGTACCACTTTACACACTTAAAGATAAATATATACATATGTGCAGGTATATACATGTTTGTACAAATATACATACATATAGAAATCACTCTAACTATAGTTGTGGTACTTTAAACTACTTCTTACTACTTATAAATGCTGCTAATCATGATGAATAGAACTAAAATGCTTGCAAAATTGTCCTCAAATACACCCCCTGTATAACAAATAGGAGTGCTCTTCTGGATGGAGCCACGCCTGGGAATTTTCAGTGGTTCAAGGGGCCTGTACATGAAACGTTTTAGTTAAATATCCAAAGCAGTTAGAAGCCCAGCTGTTGCAGGAAGAATCCCCTTTCGAATTTTTGGTTTTGTCTCTTGCAGATTCTAATTCATCGGGCCCTTGCACTGCTCCGCTCCCTCCGGAGTGGAGGCTCCTCTGGCTTAGGAGGCGTTCTTCCTTAGAGAGGTGCACAGTAAAGCAGCTAAGAAGGCCCTACAACTGGCTTTTGGTGTCATCTGACCTTGGCTAAAGACATAGGTATTTCTTGGATGTCGTAACTGTCCAGCTCAGTGAACCTGTGCTTTTAACTGAACATTTATCAATAGCAACTGAAAGTGAAATTTTAAAATAAAAGAATTCTTGGCCAAAGCTGTCAGTTGTGGTATCTACATCTCTGTATGGGACCTGTTGTGCTTCAGCTTAGAGAAGTAGATGGCTGGTAAACAGTTTCCAATCCCTAGTCTTTGCCATTTCTGTCAAACTCTGCAACTCTGAGACACAATCAATAACCAAATTACTATTATTACCATTGGCAGTCCCAATTATGTGTTATTTACAGAAAAACTTACAAACCATACCTGTTTTTTAAAATAATGATTGAATAAATGTTTGGGGAGGGGGGAACTTGCAGGAACATTATTTTGGTATCATATACTTTTAAAACATAAAAACCTAAATAAAAGATACTTCTTTGTAGAAGAGCAAAGGTGAAGTGCCACACGATCTGAGACTTCCTCCTCTGTGAAATTCCATAGTCTTTTTTTGTTCATCGATTTTTCCACAGCAAATACTAGCTGAAATAGAGGAAAATACACAGCAATTGAATGCAAAATGAAAGAAGAAAAATGAGTGTAGAAAAAACCAATTATAATGTCCCTAAACACCATCTAGCTTTAAAATTCCATGATTCTACCATTTAATTGTCTTTTCTTCAGAAGAAAGAATTAAACTGATTATTAATCATTTTGGTTCTATTCACATAACAATTGGTTTTTAAGTAGAAAAATATAATCCACCATCATTAAGAATTGACTGGACATGAAAAATTAATTTTGAACAACATTTAAGTGAAATATAGATAAAGACTTTTTATTTTATTATTATTTTTTAATCCTCACCCAAGGATATGCTTATTGGTTTTTAGAGAGAGAGAGAGAGAGAGACATTGATGTGAGAGAGAAACATCAATCAGTTGCCTTCCTTATGTGTCTCAACTGTGGATCAAACACGCAACCTAGATATGTGCCCTGATCTGGAATAAAACCCACAACCTTTTGGTGTTCAGGACAATGCTCCAACCAACTGAGCCACCAGGCCAGGGCTAAAGACTTTATTTTAATTAGAATGAGAAATGATAAAAATGGAGCATGTCACCATTTGGCATTTCTTATTTATATGTCACATAAGATTTAAGGCAATACATAAGGACATATGAAATATAATACACATCATAGCCATCACTTGAAACTACGTGGAAGGTCTAACAGACTACTGCTACGGCATGACAAAGCCATTACGTCATTAGAATTGTTTCATAATAGTAACAAAATCTTTAAAATAAAAGCTATTTTAAAATATGTAGCTTTGACTGAAAATACAAATACTGACATTTATTACACACAAGATACCAAGCAATCGGGTAGAAAAGCTGTTTCAACATAATCTCAGCATAAACAATTATGGAACGGTAATCTAAATATGCCTACGATCATTGTGTATATACAACATCAATTAAAATAAGACGTAATTTTGATCTTATTAAGAATTATTATATTTCAGACTTACTCTGCGCAGAGTGTTTTGAAAATCATTTCCCATTTCTAAAGTTGTAATAATAAATACTCCAAGAACTAGAAGTCCCCCAGGTAGCATTCTGGATACCTAAAAATAGAAATGTAGTATTAGCTTACATTGACATTTGGCTTTATATGTAATCCTTTGTGTTTGATAAGCTAAATATTAAATCAGGAAATACTTACTGAGTACAACTGCATAGCATTGAGGTGGGGACTTTGAAAAATGGTTAAAATATTGAGAAATGTATAATAACCAAGGTAAATGGGGTGTCGTCATGTACATAATCTTCCTAGAATATCCTGAACTTTTACCCTACAATTACCTTATGAAAAAAAGTCATTTAATAATGAAACCCATTAGCTACATAAATAAACAAACCCTTTTCTCATGGGATCAAAGACTGAAACACCTCCTAAAATTTTTGCAATGGCTTCCACTGTCAGCTAAATAAAATAATAATTTTGCCTTACAGTGCTATTTCAGACTAAAATTTGGTTAATCTGATACTCAGGGCCTCCCCCACTTGACACTACTTTCTGTGAAATATTAAAATACCAGTCAAAAACTTCTCACTGTTCTTCATACACATGCCTAGGCTTTCTAACTCTATGCCTTTACTCAGGCTGCTTCCTCAGCCTGAGCTTTTTCTTAAATTTTAGGTACATTACTGGGAGGGTCTGAAGGGAAGAAATAATTCTCAACTACCTTTTATCCTTTATCCCTATAATATTTAGCAGAATAGTAAAGCCTGGAATTTGAACAGAGTCTGAGTTGAAAATCCACCATTTTCTATTGCTGTTTTACCCCCAATTTTTAAACCTATTTATTGATATAATCGAGCATTTATCTTATTTCTACTTTTCCTTTCTAAAATCGTATTGGTTAAAAATCCTAGGAAGTCTTTCTGTGTCCACCAGGTTATTTACTTAGGATAAATCTCTTAAGGTGAATTACTACTTTAAGAAGTTATGGATATTTTTAAAGTTTTTGATACATACTACCAGTTTGTCTTCCATAATATCTATTATTTCCATTCATGTCATTGTGGATACTTCATAATGCCACATGGATTTCTTTCTACCATCCATACTCAGCAATGAGTGCTTTGGTTATCTTTTGTGTGGTTAATATATAAACAACTTGATCAAAAAGTTAAGTCTTCAGAAAATCAGAAAATTTCTAATAGAAAATACTTTGGTGTACAATCTGCTGATTGTTCCCTCTGCATAAATTCTATTCACTATAGTAACAAAAGCTCGAAATACAAAGAATAAAATTTTCATATTCAGCATGGGGCACCTGCATAGCTTTTCAAAATTACCAACATAAAATTAATCATTTCTTTCTGAAGGAAAAAATACGAATCTATTTTGCTATATAAACTTTATGTTTCTACATGTGTATATACATATACAGGGTCTGGCACAAATAACAGCCTTTTTTATTACAAAATCTTTTATTATAAAATCATAAGCATGTAATTCTGTAACATAATATCACACTCAAGCATACCATATGACATTTTAGGTGAAATGTTCAAATTAAAACTATAAATTATTATACCCATATTATCACCCTACCAACCACACTCAAGCAGATGTTACTTCTGCGAGACTCTGTATATTTTTATATGTATATAAAATACATCTTTCTTTCTCTTCTTCTACACACACACACATCCCCCCTGCCCCGGGACATTTAAGTTTAAAATATTTAATATTTTTGTGAGAAGACAGTACTAAATATTTCCTGGGTTTTTAAGTAACTACATACCACCCCTCAACACAGACACAGACACCAATAAACATGGGTGTATGTTTGAAAGATTTAAAGTTGATTAGAGAAGGAAATAATTCTACTTTTTACTTTATTCTAACATTCCTATTAGATGGTAGCATCCACTCAATACCTAGTTTTATATTAATTTAAACATCATTCTCTTACCCACACCCAAATCTGTTTCCTGCGTGTGTAACAGCAACACCATCTTCCTAGAAACCCAGCCTAAAAATCTCTGTCATCCTTAGCTACTCTTTCACGTATCTTTCCACTTCCAATCTGCTTGGTCACTAAATTGTCCTGATACTAGCTCTTTCTCTGAAATGTTTCGGCAATGGAGTTTTTGCTCACTGCTTTAATTTATTCATTTATCTGATATTTGGAGTTCTCTTTAAATACCAAAATACTGTGAAAACACTGTGGTTGGCACTGAGGATATAGTCATAAACAAAACAGCCGTAAACGCGGTTTCTCATGAAGCCAAGTCTAGTTTAGATTCACACCATTTTTTTTTTCTTGGACCTTGCTGTATGTTTTCTGTTGTCTTCAGTCACTCTACTCTCAATTTACACTGTATCAAGGCATTAAAATCAGTTTCTAAATTACTGACAGATCAATCACATTAACACTTTCTCAAAATAGGGAGCTCTGAAAGTCTACTACATAGCTACTATCTAACAAAAAAGTCCTCACTTTTTAGGATGGGACTCCAAAGTCATCCCTAACTGGCCCTTCCAGTCTTACGTGTAATCATATGTTTTTCCATGCCCCGTGTTTCAGTTATACCCAACTGCTTGCTCTTCTTCTAAGTGACCTTTAACTTTCATGCCTTCAGGTCAGTTATCACACCGTCCTTTAGGCATTCAGTTTGTCCCCTGACTTCTACTGGCAAAGTCCTATTCATCTTTCAGTCTAGAGCCTTCTGTGAAGCTGTCTGAATCCAAACACTAGCCTGTGTTTTGTCATTCCTTCCTCTGCATTCCTTCAACACTTCCATGTTTATCTCATTTCTCTTATAATTGATTTGGGTAATATCTTTCACTTTGGTTAAAACATAAATTCTGAGGATTTTTTCTTATTTAACCATCATTTTATTGCCTCAGTGCCTAGATTAAGTCTTTAAAACAATCTGACCAGAAACTATATTATCAATAACCAGTATTACTTTAAAGTAAATTGGAGATAAGCTACATAACTGATAGTAAGAGACAAATTTTTTAAAATGGATAAATATTAACAATGGAAAAGCATAGCATGTAAGATCAAGAAGTCAGACTGCCTGGGTGCAAATACAAGTTCCACTGTTAATTCTGTAATCTTCGGTAGGTTACTTAACTTCAAGTAAGTTGTGAAAACTTAAAAATGGGCATTCTGAAATCCTAGTCTAGCAATCTGAGGGTAAAGTGCTTTTTTTTTGTCAGTCAACAAACATCAACTTAACAATACAGGAGAAAGTGTGATGACCTGGGTAGCATGCTCTGTGGCCCATTCTTCGTCCAAGTTATCCAACTTATCTTTGGGATGTCTGAGGTTCTCATTTTTTTCCTCCTTGGGTGGTGTTCTAGTGGCAAGAATCACATAATCCTTCTGTGAAGAACACTTAAAAACAAATTAGAAAAGCTCCTTAGAGTGATATCTGATTGAGGAACATAATACTCTTATGATGTGCAAAAACTGAGTACATTTTTAACAGCTTAAATTTTTAATACCTATATTATATGCGATCTATAGAGAAACCAATGTTCATGGATAGCCTTACACCATTTTCCCCACATGTTATCTTTTAATATTTTTAATATCAGCCTGTTATTTATTTGGACATCCAATATGAATCACATGTGGTCACTACAACTGGTTTACAAATGGTTTACCGGATGAGTGAATAAACTGTATTTACACCAAAAAATAATGAATATGCTTGGTCAATTTTCTAGTTATTACATTTACTTCCTATATACTGTATTTTGCCATGTATAATGTGCACCCACGTTTTTTGTGTACATTATACATGGGATTATTATGCCCATTATTATACCCATGGTATCACTATACCCTGTATAATGTGCGTCCTTATTTTTCCCTCAAAAATTTAGGCAAAAAGTACACATTACATATGGCAAATTATGGTAATTTGAACAGACTGGGTAGTTTAGTAAAAATAAAGCAACGAATGACTTATGCATCTTATTTTCATTGATATGAAAAATATTGTATGTCAACAGTAAGTAAAAAAGAAAGAAAAGGAAATAAGCAACAACAGAAAGAAATGACAACAGTAGGGAATTTGTACACGTGTCCAAATTGAAGTGATATCACATTTATGTTCCTCTATTTTAGTAGCAGCTAAATGGTAATCAAAGGCGGGAAATCCAAAGATAAATGTAGGGAACATTTAATAACTCAGTGTCATTACAGTGGAAGTTTCCTATGAAGAAGGAGTCAAAATAAGGCTGATAATTCAAGTCAGTATGGTGTCATCCTCGGATATCACCTGAAATTCCCATCATTGGTGTCATACTGGACTAGAAAATAAAGGAAGAGAAATTATTCCTACAAAAATTGTTTCCAGAGAATTACATTCAAATGGACACAGGAAAAGGTAAGCACTAATTAAGAAAGCTCTTCCTTCTCATAAAATCTATGACTTTGAAAAGAAAATGACCCTTGGAGTAGGAAACAGACAGGCTTGAGGGGAAGGAGAGAAAAGTGGTGAACCCTGGAGTAAAGGAGAAGAAGGAACGTGTGGAGCAGTGGAAGGGATGAAAAGGCAGCATAAAGAAAGGCAGGAAGGAGCACCCTAAACTGTGGGAAACTCCCTGGTAAGGAAGGGCCTGTAGACAGCCGGGCAAGTTTGGAACAGGGATTTTTCTCACTGATCATTTATCTTCACTGATCCCATCTTTCCCTAAAATTCTTCCCGTAAAACAAATAATAATGGGGAGTAAAAAGCCTCACATGAAAAGTTCTTAGCAAAAAGAGCCCTACATTAATAGATAATAAGTATCCTGAATGAAAAAGAAGTTCAGACTGTAGCCAAGAGAGGCAGGCCAGCTACCTAATGAGAGGCCTCCTACGTGGTACTTCCTGGGTGATCAGCGCAGCGTCTGCCCTCTGTCCTGCCAGTTAAGAAATCAGATTTGTAACCATGAAGGGCTGTGACTACATGTGTCCTCTAGACAGTGCTTTCTTTATAAGTAGGTAACATGGGGCATCAAATCGTAAGAGAAAGTAGCTTGGGATTGTGGACAGAACCGGAATAAGTGAATCATGCAATTTGAATGTTCTAAGGAATCATGATAAAATGCCCAGAAAGAGAATTGTCACAATACAGCTTTATTTGCTATTAAGCCTCAAAAGCAGGTCCTTGGGCCACAGTGTACTCTCCTGTAAATAGTGTTTAGACAGATATAGGCAGTTTGTCTATATAACTTTTTCTGTTATTGTTGCTATTACTTTTTATTGCCGTCTAGTCTTCCTGCTTATTGAATCAGTTGATGCTCGTGCTTTTTAAAGTAACTGTTCAAATCTCTGTTTCATTTTGTGTTGATTTTTAAGGCTTAACTCTATGAGGAAAATAGAATATGACTTATATTCAAATTTCTTCCAAATTTCTTTTCCCCTCCCTCTCCACTGAATCCACATTAAAAATAATCAATAAGATAGGTATTATATTATGTAGCAAAGTATATGACCACTGTTGGTACAAGTCTGAGATCACAAAAACCAGAATGAGAATAAAACTGTTGAAAGCTACTTCTATAAAAAACTGAATAATCAGGAATTAATAAAGATTAGGAGGGAGTACAAAACACTTGGAAACACACACACACCGCCTCCCAATACAAATAATATGGTCAGTAAAAAATCTAATTTTGGAGTTTCCACATTATAAATTATTTTTACACTGTCGAAAGAGAATGTGTTCTAACTTGAGCAAACCTGAACTAGGTATGTCTTACTGCTCCACATTTTTCTTTAAAATCCATATTAAAGTTACTTCTACATTCTCTCTCCATTCCCTAACCTTGAGTTTATTGTTAAATAGCATATATCAACTTTATTTTTATTTCAACTTTAAATAAACAGTTAATTTGTTCTGTCAATAAGTACATAGTAAAAGACACATACCTGTCCTATCAAAAGACCAGAGACAAAAGACTTTCCATGGAGATTGAGGTTTGAAAGATATTGGCCAACAGTCTCTTCTACAATGTAGGTTCTTCCCATTATTGAGACTTAAATCTCCTAAATGCCAAAAAAAAAAACCAAAACAAGGATAGTACTTTTAGGAAAAAAAAATATACCTTCCAATGATTTCCTCATAGGGGAAGTACAGAGAGAAATGGTACTACTTCAATGCTACCCCCAAATTTGCAGTGATTACTGATTAAATACGGTATTCTTACTTGCAAAGTTCAAGTGTAGCTTCAGAATTCTCAACACAGTCTGCAGTAAATGACTACTAATCAGAATTGATATAGGAGACAATACTTACTTACATACCTAAGATAAGGGAGAGGACACTAAATTATTAGTCAACACACTTGATTTTTTGTTTCAGATACAGCACTCCTTAGTTATCATTGATAACCTATTATTGAGCCTCTGCAAGCTCATTTCTCAAACAGAGAAGATGTAGCTTTTAATCTGCTCACTGGGAGGCAGGAAAAATCAAATTCATTTATTCAATAAACATATTATGAAGAACTATTACATGCTAGAAATTGTGCCTGGTGGGATGGTACAAATATAATACTCGATTTCTGCTCTTGAGTAACTGATAGCACAAGAACTAATAAATGGCAAGGCAATAACAGCAAACATTTGTATAACTTCTACTGAAACAAAGAAAGGTCATGTAACTTGTCCAAGTGACAGAGCTGGGAAGTGGCAAAGATGATATTTAAACTCATTCTGGTTCTGGAATTCATGCCTTTAAATACTGTGCTCATATTTTGTAACTCTTGTGTATCACATACATATTGATTTATAAAATAACTTAATATAATATAAATAGGGGAGGGCAACAATATTTGAAAATGAAACTGAAAGAACAAAACAAATATAAAATCCTTCAAAACGAATACAAAATTCTGAATAAAAATTCAAAAAGAGATTATAAAACTTCTCTTCAAAGACTTCTTGAAGTGATGCTTCAAAGAAACTAGTTTGTGAGGGAAAAAAGTGGCTAACATCCATTTCTTACCAAATAATTATTTTGACGAAAACCTTATTATTCAACTGCTTTCTTCTAAATTTCTGTTAACATAATTGTATGTCTTACTTTGGAGTTGAAAAAAATATAGCAAAATAGTCAAGAGATTTGTCAAAGAGCAGCTCAGAATACATGCTTAATTCTAAACTTTGAAAGTTCTGTTAATAAAAATGTGCTGATTCCTAAAACAGTAAAAAAAAAAAAACAAACAAACAAACAAACTACGCTCATACTGAGGAATCATCCCCAGCCTCTCTACTCAACCACATCTAAGGGAACTCTCAACTGCGAACGGGAACCAGTGTACTCCTCTTGCTGGCCTATGTTCCTTTGATTTGATTTTTCTGTAGCTAAAAACCAAAGATACTGACTAGAAGAGCTAGGCAATAATGAATGATGATCTCAAGGGGGTCACATTTACTCTGGGAGACAAAAATGTAAAGAGATGATATTCAAAAGTGTTATAAAATGGTTATAAAAGACTATAGGAACACAGATGCAGTATTTTCGATTGAGGTCAGTCATTTGATTTCTATAAAAAATTTCAGTCTTAGCACAACACAGTCAAGGCAACTACAGATGTGCTAGGGTGGCACATCTGACACCAATAAACTGCCACTTACAATGATTTTGCACTTCCTAAAACTAAAGCCCAGAGAATTGGTTCCAGTTTGAAATGGCCTACTGAATACTGCTTTGGCTTTGTTTTTTCCAAAGAGCGTGTTCAATTTTGCCTCAAAATGCTTTAAATTCTTTCCTACCTCTTTTCTGACAACCATGCAAATAAGTAGGGTTTGCACACCACTTTTGTTTAGATTAGGTCTAGACAGAACTATCTGTCTAAATTATCAATGCCTCTCTAAAGGTAAGGGCTTTCGACTTTCCACGGTGTCATAAAGCATGTATGCATTTCTGTGTATTACCTTTTCCTCGGCTTCATCACGCTATTCTATTCCTTTCCTTCTGGCCTAAAAGTTCCTAATTCTTGCAAGAAACAGCAGTGACAGTGAACCCAATGTTGTAGTACATAACTTTCTAATTATATTTCTTCCAAGGTGTCACCCACCAGCCCTGTTAATGTATAAGAAACTGAATGCAATAGGAAGATGAAAACGTATTGGGTTATAAAATCTGGTTGAATGTCAGACTTTTTTCTCTAGTGTTCCTTTAAAACTTTTACATGTAGGTAACCTTACTCCTTACTTTACAAAGTACACTACTAAAAAGGTAGATCTTGCCTTCCAGGGGTGTCCAACCTTTTGGCGTCTCTGGGCCAACACATTGCGACATGTTAATTACAAAAAGAAAAAAGAATCTCATAACGTTCTATGTAAATTTACGATTTTGTGTTGGGCCGCATTCATAGCCATCCTGGATTGCATGTAGCCCCGCGGGCCATGGGTTGCATATTCCTGCCTTACAGTTCAATTTTTCCTGAAATGCTGTGTTTCAGCCGAAGCTTTGCAAGTTGTCCAAACACTGCGACAAGGCGATTCAATTTCTCTGCACTCTTGATTACCTAGTTTACAAAATAAAGATTTTGGATCACAGCAGGTCTGAAAACTTAATTTCAGGGTTCCGTGAGTTCAAACTCCTCCTAGCTTCTTTTAAGAACCTTCTTCTTGGAAAATGAACCGGGCTCCTCAAATTCCTGTTAACTATCACTATTGCGCGCGCACACACACACACACACACACACACACAAGGCATCTAGGTAGCCATTTCAAATAAGATGAATTTGCCATAATTTGATTGCAGTGAGTTGTAGTAGTGTCTGTCCATATGCTTCCTACAGTCTGTTTCTTTCTTCCTTAAAAAAAAGAAATTTGTGTCCAAGTGCACACGCACAACCTTCACACACACGAATTACACCCTTAGGCTGACTCACCTGTACGCGTGGCCGACAGATGTACCAACCAGTCCGCCTGAGACGGGAGTTCAAGGTTCAAGTACTGGTCTCCAGCGGCCAATGAATTCATCAGAAAGCGACGGACTTCCCACACCTCACTTCCCACTCCAAACCCAGGGTCTCCCTCCGAGTCGGGTGGCTCAGATTGATGACGCGTTGCTCACCCCCGGCCCCCCCTACCCCCGCCTTCACCGCAGCGCCTCGGCCAAAGCGACTGCGGTCGCCACCCCGCCCCCTTTCGGGCACAGTTGAGAGCTTGGCGTTGGCCCGGCGCCTGTCGTCCGGCCCCGCCGCGACCAATGCCCTCTAGTGGCTCAGTGTCTCGAAACCGCCAAAGAGGACTCCCCATGGCATCGCGAAGCTTAGACGGTAAGGTTGCCCGGCTTTTCGGGGAGGGACGTGGGTTGACGAGAACTCTATGGCGCCACCTCCCGGACAGTGGTCACGAGGCTGGGCAAGGAGAGCCGGGGGGCGGGGAGAAAGGAGGAAGCTGAACCAGCTATGCGGAATTAGGTGCGCAGGAGGCATTGAGGAAAAAAATACGTTTCCCAGCGTCCTGCGAGGCTTGAGGGGCGGGTGGGAAGGGGGAGCCGGAAATCCGAGTGCAGGGCCGCGTTACAGGCCTCCTTCGAACTCGTGATCCCAGAGTGCACCGTTTCCAGCGGCTGCGCGCGCACCCGGGCGCGGGCACGGCCGCTGAGGCGCCTCTTTTGCTGCCGCTAACACAGGACTCGGTTTCCCAGGGTCCCGCCGCGGGAGTCTCCGGCGAGCAGGGGCGCGCGAGCCCCCTAGCGAGGTGGCAGAGGTGGCCGGCCAGGCTTCGGGGTCCTCCTGGTGTTCTCCTAGCTTCTCCGTTTCTGCTCCGTCGTCCGCTGCCGGTGGGGCCCCCGGCCCGACCGACATGGCGGCGGTGTTGCAGCAAGTCCTGGAGCGCTCGGAGCTGAACAAGCTGCCTAAGTCCGTCCAGAACAAACTGGAGAAGTTCCTGGCCGACCAGCAGTCCGAGATCGATGGCCTGAAGGGGCGGCACGAGAAATTTAAGGTGGAGAGCGGTAAGTACGGCGCGCTTCCCGCCGATAAGTTCTGGGCCCGACTCGTTGGCCGTGGCAGGGTTTTTCCCCTTAAAGGCTCGCCCTGTCCCCGATTTCACTCGTAGCGTCGCTTCCTCAGTCCCGTGGGCACCCTGGCCCCTGTCCTACCTGCTCCTCTCAGTTTGATGCGGAGGAGCCTTCGTATTCGTTTGTTTTTACAAATCGGAATCCACATTGCGGTCCGTTTTCTTTGTAATTAGGGTAGTCTCACAGTAAGAAATTCGGAAGATGTGGGTCTTTACACTGGACTGAAGCGAGCCCGCAACCCCTACCCAAGCCCCGCGTAGCCGGCCCGAAAGCCGCACGTAAAACGAGGGTGGGCTCCGCTCTGCTGTCTTCTCCGGCGGAGGCCTTTGTCTGAGTGACTGCTCCGTGCGCCGATTCTGAGCGTGTGTCGCGCGGCGCGGTTACGACCCGGGTGTTCACAAAAATGAGGTGCACAGAACGGCGTTGGCAACGGAGTGCCCGTGCAGTAAATACGTTTAACGTATCGGACTTATCTCTAGAAGTTGGAGTTTAATAGAAAACATGTTTATACTTATTATTAATACCTGTCGTAGACCCTCAAAGAAAGAAAGTTACAAGTGTCTGAAACACTCCTGATAAGAAATGGGGATCATAGTAATTACCATTAGGAAAACGCAGACTTCCTGTTGTGTGTCTTGGTTTACCAGTTGTTGGGGGAATTGGTACGGGGCTTTGCTAAGTTGATTGAAAAGTCTGAATACATTTTTACTTCCGGAAATGTAATTATCAAGCAGAACTGATGTTGGAAATTAATTTTCTGAGTCCCAAAAGTGAATAATACAGTTCACTGTTTCCGGTTCATTAACTGATAATAAATACTGCGTGTCATCGATGGGTCTGATGCTGTGCCAAACAGTACATACTCAAGTCCCTTCCCCTGGTAAGTTAACGCAGTTGTTTTTACATACATTTAATTTTGTACTTTTAGGTAGTATTTTGGCTATGTCGAGCCTCTAAAGCAAAGCAGCTTTTAATCAGAAAAATTTTTTTCCATTTAATAAAGCTTTTCTGCTTTATGCTCAGAAGTTTACTGATGTATAGGGACGATACTAAGATAAGACATGTTACCGGCCTTGAAGAAGTTCATAATCTGGTTTGGACAAGGAATTTGTAAAATCCCCTTTAGGCCTTATTTTCTTTTGTCATATATTTATAAGTCGGTTGGAAACACTATGTCTTAAACTTTAAAATCAAGCTTGTTAAAAATAAGTTGCAGTATCAAAATTGTCTATACATTTGTGTTTGATTTTATTTTTTTTCTCTGCTCTTTTGTAGAACAACAGTACTTTGAGATAGAGAAGAGGCTCTCCCACAGCCAGGAGAGACTTGTGAGCGAAACCCAGGAGTGCCAGAGCTTGCGGCTTGAGCTGGAGAAGCTCAGTAAGTATTTAATTGCATCTTTATAGTATTCGTGGAGTATTGAGATCTTCAGACAGCTTTGCATGCTTTGGAAACATTTACTGTCTATGAAAATACTGACCCAAGTGTCATTGTTTTCACGTATTGTAATGTATTGGTTTTCCCTCGTGATAAAGGCTGTAAGAGAACGGAGGGCTAAGGGTCAGGGGCTGGGTTTGGCTCGGAGGGCTGCCCAAGAGCCCCTCCACCCTGTGCAACTCATAACAGTGCCTGGAGGTTGGAGAGCTTTTTGCAAAAATTCCAGCAACTGTAAAAATGAAAAGGTAAAGACTGTGACTTAGTTATTTTTGTGGTGTTCCGTTGAAAGTTTAAAACCTGTTATTTCCATTACATTTATTTATGTTTTAATTCTCTTGGTTATAATTTTTGTAAGTATTTATTAATCTCATGATATTTCCTAACTTCACCGTAGTTCAGGGGAAAAAAAGTTAGCTAATTTCCTTCTTAATTAGTTTTTTACATCAGTAAGTCCTAGAAGGTACACAAGATCTGACATTTCTGGGGAGGATGATGTATATTATGTGTTTTGTCTACAGCAGAAGAAAGCAAATGTCAGGAAAGACCTGTGTAGAGTAGGGGCATAATACTTGTTACTAGATATAACTGGATTTTAATTTGGGAATTCAGAAAGGAGAATAGTTAAACTCTTCAACCTTCTTTCTTAACCAGGTTCATGTGCACTGGCTATTTGTTTGGGTCATAACTTTTTTCCAGCTCATTTTGGCACAACTCATTTTTAAAACATTTGACGTACGTATGATGGTACGGATATATGTGTAGTGAGTGCACATAAATACTTACTGCGTAGCGAGGTATAGCTTATTATCTCTACATCGTTTTGCCTTGGCATAGACAAGTGATCTGTACAGGAGTGAGGGTAAAGAACTTCAGGAAAATGACTGACTACAGCTGCTTGTATGAGACCTGGAAAAGGGAGAGGGAAGGGAAGATGGGGATAAACCTACACAGAAATCTGAGGTATACAGTTACATCTGTATTTTTTTGGTTTATCATTCTGGATCTGTAAGTTTGGAAAGCAGTAAATAACCTTCCAGAAAAATAGAAAATTCAGACAAATTTAGCAGGGTTTTTTCTTTTAATCAGCTAATTGTTTAAATAGAACTGAAGACTGGAAGTACAGTAAGTAATAATGTATTTGCTCATTCAGTTGCTAGCATGTAATATAGATGAGTCTTAATGGAAAAAAGCTTTGAAAAGTACAGTCTTTCCTAATTACCTTCATGTGTTTAGAAGAGAAACTGTATAAAGAGAGAGCCCATTATAAGTGAACATTGTGGGATTTGATAATTTGGTATCAAGTATAATTTTATTTGTTCTATGTTAAAGGCTGTCTTTGGAGTGATAAACTGAATCACAATTATAGTATTTATTATTGTGAGTTATTCTATATATATTTTATGTGGTTTAAATGTTAATTTCTTGATATTTTTTAAACTCAGCTTCCTTATAAATATAATTCACTTTTTATGATTGACTTGGAAGATATTGAAAAATAAGGGAATTCATAATTGTATATGCTTTTTACTGTAAATGTTGGCAAGGATGATCACAAATGCAATTTGGGAAACAGGGTAGCATGTTTTAAAATTTGGTCTAGAAATATAGTAAATTTGGGGTATATTTATCAATTTGGAATACATAGTATAACTCAGCCTTTCTAAGACTCAGCTTCTTAATTTTAAAGTGTGTATGGGTGGCAGCTGGATAAAACCTGTTATTGCAAGTTTTAAGCCTTTGTGTATATGATCATAAAATTCCTTTTATCCAGACAGTCAACTGAAGGCACTAACTGAGAAAAACAAAGAACTTGAATTTGCTCAGGATCGCAGTATTGCTATTCAGGTAAACGTTATTCCTATGGATAAAACTAATTGTAAATATGATACTTGAGAAAGTTTTCTATTCTGATTTTGTTTCTTAGTTATGTAGTCAAAGAAAAGGTTAAACGTTCTATTAGGAGAAGCTACTAACAAAAACATGTATACATAAGGTTCTTTTTTTTAATTTTTTTAAAAATTGATTTTTAGGAGAAGTGGGGGAGAAAGAGAGGGAAAGAAGTAATCAGTGTGTGGTTGTCCCTCGCATACCCCCTACTGGGGACCTGACCCACGACACAGGCATGTGCCCTGGACTGGGAATCGAACAAGCGACCCTTTGGTTCACAGGCTGGTGCTCAATCCACTGACCACACCAGCCAGGGCTGTATACATACATTTCTTAATTGGATATTTATATGTATTATTAATAGATTGCACATTTCTCTTACTTGTTAGAATATATTGGTACTTAATACCAAGAAAACCCTTTCTTTTAGCTCTCAATTTCTTAAGTTCTAATTTTGTTAAATTCTTACTATAAGTAAACTGCCACAGAATTAGACATAGGATTGGTGTTTATAGGTCCATCCACCCACTTATCTACCTGCCTTCCATTTTTCCTTTCTCTTAGAAGTTATCTATTTAATGCTTACTATTCAGGCATTATTTCAAGTATTGTGATACTATTGAGGATATGATCCACATCAGAAATCATTTCCTTAGAGTAGCGATATGAATAACAAATTGAATGTA